CAGGAGATTAATATTTATGACTCTGAGGGGGTTCTGTGTTACTTCGGTTCATTAGGTTCACTGTGGGTTGCTGACTGTCTTACTGTCTTTGAGCTTGCGCTATTTATCGATACTCATTTCATTCCTCTCTCTTCCCTTTCCTACCCTTGCTTCCTTTGCTATATCTGTGTGTCTTTAATGGTAAGACTCAAGAAAGTCTATCCACGTTACAATAAATAATATATATATATATATTTATTTTTTTTAGTAAAGTTGTTGTACATATTTTGGCTGCCTTTGTCCCTTGGTGTCTTGCTTTTGTTTTGTAAAACACTCAGCAATATACACACATATATATATACATATGTTACATAGTCTATATTTTTTACCAAAACGAAAAAGCGCCTTGGTGCAAATTTAATTCTTCCTTGTAGTATTTTGCATTTCTACTCCACGTTTCTAACGTTTGGTTCTTGTTATCTTGCATTTTTAAAGCTTGCCCAGTAACACTTTAAGGTACTTGCTTCATTCTTAGAATTTCTTATTTTTGTAGTAAGGGAAGAATCTGGGTGATCTTTTTTTCCAATGTTAAACAAAACAACAACAACAAAAAATTCTTTGTCTCCCATGAATTCCACGTCCTGTGCTCAAAATAAGGCATAGCCTCTTCTAGAATGTGAAATTTTAAACTGGTGTATGAATTGACAATCTTGCCCCCCTTCAATCCTTGCTGTCCAGCAGGGGATTTTGGATATGAACTGGCAGGGGAAAAGTTTTAAGCTCACTGGGTCACCATGAGGAAGCTGTGATCCCCACTTGGATAAGTAATTAGTGGCATACACCGACTATATTTGTATTTTCCAGTTTGTACATTTTAGAGGGCCTCTAACTAGAGCTGTAAAGGATTGGTCCTGGAAAGACTGTCCTGTAAAAGCAAAAAAGTAATGCTTTCACATAGGCACCGTTTTCCCTCTCTTGTTTTCTTTCCTCTTTTCTTCTCCTGTTTCTTTCTCCTCTACGATGTTATAGTACTATGTTATAGTACTCTGGACTCCTATATTGCATTTGTAAATATATATTAATATGCTTACAAACTGTTTACCTTTTTCAACCACCTGAATGTTTCTGCCTCCTTTTTACAAGGCCAATAAATGGCAAATTAACCATGTTTGTACAAAAAGTACGTGCCTGCCTTTGATCTCTAAGATGAGGATCTGACCAAAAAAAAAATAGAAACATTGCCTTAATAGCAAGTTCCTGAGCATGAGACGAGTCGCTGGGGTTTCCACCTGCCCTTTTACGGCTGCGTACAGAGCAAAGGGAAACCTGGGTGAAGTCTCAGGTAGGGGAGAGCTTGCTGAGCAGCATCATGCAGACGTCCTTTCCCATTTCCCCACCCTTCAGTACATGGTGGGGTTGCAGCTCTGTGGATCAGAGGCGGCAGCAGCGTCCTGTGCGCTGGCAGGACTTTACTTTCCCACAGCACCACCCTGTGCTTCTGATCCAACTCAGCAAGGCATTTAAAAACATGGGGTAGGCTGGAGCATGAAAATAATGCTGCGGAAAAGCACAGAGACTGCTGTCATGCTTTCAGTGCTCTGCTGAATCGGGCTTGGCAAGGGATAACGAGGAGGGCTGTTAAGTGCCACTGCCCTTTTTGTTAGCAGGAGCACAACTTGTATTTGAAGGCAAGATCTTGCAGTCTGCAACTTGTTGTGTTTCTGTTTATATTAATTCTCTCATTGTATAAATGTACCAAAATCAACCTTTGGGTTCTTTTTTGGTAGCTGCATCAGCTTTTCTAAACCCCAGATTCTCCACTTGCTGCTTCCATTCCTGAGTATAATCTTAACAATGAAAGAATTACATTAATTGTGCTCTCATTGTTGAGTTTGCTATTTACCTTGAGTCAGTGAGGTTTATTGTATTTCATGTCTGGGTATCGTGGCTCTCACTAACTGTAGATACCATGGATGTAAAAACTTTTCAGTAAGGACTTAGGAGCTATTCCCTACCTACTGCATATCCTCACACAAGGGTACGTTCCACTCTTGGTCCTTGAGCAGTCCAAAGAGAGTGTAGTTTTGTTTATTAAATGAAACCACGATGTCATTTGGTCTCTTTGAATTATTGTCTTCATGCTTTTTGTGTAGTGGGCATGTATTCAGGTAGCTTAGTGTGTCAGCAGCCCTCTCAGAGCTAGTAAGAAGAAAAGCAGCTAACTTCAGCCACCGACTGAAGTGAGACGTGTGGAGTCGCACAGAAAACTGGCTTCGTCCCCAGAGGCCTGGAGAGTTGGCAGCCAGCTGCTGGGCACTGCTTGGTGCTCTCAAATCAGGCTTCTCCTCTAGATGAGTAAACACAGATTTTGGAGTAGCAAGAAATGGTTTTGGTGGCCTTATTTATTTATTTATTTTAACAAATGAAAACCTTTCAGCTTGTACTGAACTTCTGTAGCAATAGTCCCAGCACTAGAGGACAAGTGTCCATGTCCTGTGACCTCTCAGGAAGACCTGCTAGCAACAACGACGTTCTCACACTAATGCTGTGGTGCCTTAAGAATGCCAGCAGGACAGGAACTGTAGGCAGAAGCCACCTCTAGTAGATCAGCTGAAAAAATCAGGAAGCCTGGACATATGTATACAGAAAGGGCTTGAGCCTGCTTTGGAGGATTCCTTTCTAGAACCTCCTTCCATAAATCCCACAGGGTTTTCTGAGGGATCAGTAGTTGTTAGAAGCCCAGAAATGCTCGAAGTATCTAATTCAGGAAATAATGTTACTGAAATTAGTGAGGACCAGCTGATACTTCCAGCATCATCAATGCTTTGCATGACAACTTGTACAATGAGCTTTGCATGTGTGTTTTGTTGCTTGTTAATAATTTTCAGGAAGTAACAAAACTCTGATGTTAGGTTTTGTGGAGCATTGTGCAACATGTTTGTTTATCCTGTATCTCCCCAGTCTATTGACTCGTTTCTTTAAATTCAAATGGATACGATGATATGCAGATTCTGGCTTTTACTACCTAGGTAAACTTTTTGCTTTGTTTCCACAGTTGTAACATCTGAAATGTTTACACAGATATAAAATATTACTTAAGTACAGAATTAATATTTAAGAACTTCTTACAGTAGTATACTACTTGAAATTAATTTGAACTTCTTTAGGCAACAGCATTAACCTATTCCTTGGATGATTTCTGGTTGTATTTGGTTTTCTTTTAGAGAATCAACATTAAAAAAAGAAATTGATGAAGAGAGAGCATCTTTACAAAAATCCATCAGTGATACTAGTGCCTTGATCACACAGAAAGATGAAGAACTGGAAAAACTCAGAAATGAGGTAAATGAGGAAAAGCGGGATGCTTCTCAATCTTTATAGCTACAATGTCTGATTGTGTGGTTGCTACTGAAGAGTTGGATAATTCATTTTAATTTAATTTAATGATTAATTTAGCATAGTTAAACCTTAGAATTAAATCTTTAGGTATCTGTACCTAGTTAGTGCCTGTGCCTCTGGCTAGTTGGGTAAATGCTGCCATGTAGTTGTGGTGGCTGTGTAGCCCTTAGGATGGTACCTGTCTGCTTTGACTTTGTGCTGGGAGACCTAAGCGTTCTGATGTAACTCTTACAGATCACAGTGCTTCGTGGAGAAAACGCTTCTGCAAAAACCTTACAGTCAGTGGTTAAGTCACTGGAGTCTGATAAGCTGAAACTTGAGGAAAAGGTGAAAAACTTGGAGCAAAAGCTCAAGGAAAACAATGAGCCATTAACTGTAACTAGCCCCTCAGGTAAAAGAGAAAGCTTTTCTTGTGTCTGTGCTTTCAACTCTAATCTTGCAGGGTTTTGTAGCTGTTAAAACACACCCTTAAAATGAGCTTCAACTAATTGAACCTCCAGAGAAATGTGACTTTTCTGTTGTAGGACAGAGCTAGGTTTTTTAAATGAAGGAAATCTGACCAGCTGCAAAATGTAAATGCTCCCAGTTTTACCAGTTAACCCCATTCACACTAGCGGCAGGGGTGCAATTTGTCCGGAAGTGACACATGCGTAAACTATTCCAAAACTTTTATTTGTGAACTGTTGCTGTCACCTAAACACACAGTTGTGTTTTAATAATGTACAATATTGAACATGCTTCCATATGCACTGGTCAAAAACAAACAAACAAAAAAACAACCTGAAAGCCACCCTCACTGGAACTTACCCCGAATGCTCAGAAAGCAGTAAGAATAAGATGTGTTGGAGACTGGAGACTATTCCACTATTTCAGACTCTGAATTAGCCATTGTATGTTTCACCCTTTAGGTTGCTGGCTATTTACGCCTTACCTTTTTGTTTCTCTTTAAAGGTGACATTGCTGCTAATCTCCTTCAAGATGAAACCTTGGAAGAGAAGCAGGTATTTGGTCTGAAACATCACCGTGCTAAACAGCAGTGTGTCAGTAGGCAGTGTGAGATATTTTTCCAAATGCAGTTCTGTCAGATTTTGGAAATCAGGATTACAACAGGCAGATTTTTCTTTTCAACGTGTACATCTGAGAGCAATGTTAACGGCAGGAAACTACTTAGAACAAAGTGATATTGGAGAAATCTGTTGAACTCTACTCAAAAGGAGGGTTGGCAGCGGTGGGGCAAAGAAGCTGCTCAGGTAGCATTTATTTGGATTTAGGAAAACAGATTCAGATAACAGATTTAGGAAAAGTCTGTATCAAGGAGTATGATAATCCTAACGAACATGTACAAGACCTGCTGTGCAACAGGCTGCCTGTGACAACAAATGCCGAGGAAGCACGGTGAGAACAGAAGCGCTTCCTGACCACTACACAGGTTCTTGCTAGGCCTCTGGAGTCAGTCAGTGACTACAGACGTCCTTCCTAGAGCCATACTCTGTACAGAGGCCAGAAGTGTAATTAATGTACACTAACCACCAATCTTTCTTTCTCTCTTTTTTTTTTTTTTTTTTTTTTTTGTCTCCTGGAATTCACCTGCTGATGGCAATACTTTCTTCCAATCAGCACGAGGTTTGTTCTGCTTTTTGGCTTGCTTTCTTTTGCTCCCTGTTGATTTGCCAAGCACTACGTGCTTACTGTCAGCAGGGGTTCTGCACTGCTCCTACTGATCCCTGTCTGGCTGAAGCCAGCTCTGGGAGGTGCCTCGTGGGCGCGCAGTGCGGTCCTGCTGCTGCCTCCAGCACAGCTCTGGGAGGGACTCCGGTTGCCCCCAGTGCACCCACCTGAGCGGCAGGCTCAGAGGACTGGAGATGCAGTTCTGATCAGAATTACACTGCTGGCTTTACGTTCAAACGTAACGTCAGAAAGAGTTGTAACTATCAGTGGTGGGTTGAGACCCACCGATGTCTGTCAGACATGGGCTGGGCTGAACTAGCCGGCTCCTGAACAGAAATCATACTGAGGAGTCCTTTGGGAAGTTTCTCCCAGTTCCTACCCCCATTCTGTCAGCCTCCACTCGTGCTTTCTGTAATACAACGACACACTGGTAAAAATTAATGCCCATGTCATTTTGAGGGCCTTTCCTGTGTTGCTTGCTTTCTCTGGAAGTGCAGTCCTCAGCCTTGTTCTTTCACATCACAGATTGACTTCCTGAATTCAGTGATAGTAGATCTGCAAAGGAGAAATGAAGAACTGAACTTGAAAATACAACGAATGTGTGAAGCAGCCCTCAACGGCAATGAAGAGGAGACAAACAACTACGACAGGTATAAATCCTGAAGGGAAACCTTGGCTTTGTTCTGGGAAGCGTTGGTAGCAGTTGGCTCTGTCGGCTGCAAGGTGCTCAGCCTGGTTTCAGCTGTTGCGACGACTTTAGGTGGAATGAATCTATTTTGGGTAGACCTGTGCGGTGTCAAGAGTTGGACTTGATGATCCTTAAGGGTCCCTTCCAACTCAGGATATTCTATGATTCTATTCAGGCCCATCACTACGGCATGCCAGATGGTGCAAACTGCCCCCCTGTACTTATCTATCACAAAGACCGATGTGATGTTTGTTGTCAGTCTCGGTTGAGGCTGGCCCTTTCCATGCTAGGTAGAAGAGTCTTTCCCTTGTGATGCCGTTACTACATTGAGAGAGTGAGATTCTGTCAGAGAAATAGAACTAAAGCCTGTGGTGTAAATTGTGAGCTCAGATCTCTTCTATCAAAAAAACAAGTTTACATGTTACCTTTACAAATAATGTCTGCCTGTGCCTCTATTTACACAGAGCAGTTTGTTTAGTAAATATTGTAGTGTGAGGGAATATGGGGAACAGTGGGGCAGTTGAGAGGTTAGATCTTCCATGTTTTCATGTCTTTGTTGGCCACAGTGCCATTTTCAAGGACAATCAGAGAGGTTTCAGGGAGGGTCGGAAGCAGGCCTTTTTCCTTTATGAGGGAGAAGCGCCCTGCTTGACTTGCACTGGTGCTGACCTTGCAGTGAGGAAGAAAGCCTGTCGAAGAAGAAGCCTCGTCTCTTCTGCGATATCTGCGGCTGCTTTGACCTTCACGACACCGAGGACTGTCCCACCCAGGCGCAGATGCTGGAGGAGCCTCCCCACTCGGCTTACCACGGCAGCAGGAGGGAGGAGCGCCCCTACTGCGACACCTGCGAGATGTTTGGGCACTGGACAGCCGACTGCAATGATGACGAGACCTTCTAGTGCAGGGGCAGGAGGCCGGACTGTCTGTGCGCACTGAGCGGACACTTCACACCACCAGCATTTGCGTGTGCTGAATGTCAGGAAAAGGGACGGCGTTTGTTGACCCCGTGCTCCCAGTCCCTTTGCCTATCCACTCCGGAATCAGTAAATTGATAAATATTCCCCCCCTCCACTAATAAAAGCCCTATTTCCCTTTATTAAACTTAAGTGAACTATAAATAAATGATTTAATAAATGACTTTATGCCGTTTCCTCCCAGGTTCTGGGTTTGTTGCAGCTCCTAACCAGCCCTGCCCCGGCGCTGGTGCAGCTGCTGCTGGGAAGCCGTGTATAGAACAAAGCCCTAGAGTTATATTAAAGCTTATTTAAGTACCTTGAGCTTGCGCTGTTGATTTCACGACGCACTGAACCGTTCTAAGGCCGCGCGTGTCCGTTTACGCTGTTCGGCGGCGTTTTCCCATTCAGGCTCTATTTCGGCGGTGCCGCCGGGAGGGGGGGCGCTGGCGCGGGCTGCTCGCGGTCACGTGGCGGGTCACATGGCGGGTCAGGTGACAGCAGTCAGGTGACGGCGGCGGGGCGATGGCGGCGCACCTGAGCTCGGGGCGTGTGAACCTGACGGCGCTGCGCGAGGCGGGGCGCAGGGAGCTGCGCGAGGTGCTCGACAAGTGCGCGGGCACCAAGGTGCGGGGGCAGCGGGGGGGCTCCGGGGGGTACCCGGGGGGTACCCGGGGGTACCGGGGGCACCCAGCCGCACCGTGTTGCCCCGCAGGCCATCGTGTGGGACGAGTACCTGACCGGGCCGTTCGGGCTGATCGCGCAGTACTCGCTGCTCAAGGTACGGCCCGGGGGAGCCGCCGGGGGTGGGGGGAGCCGGGAGGGGCTCGGTTAAGGTGCGCCTCGTCCCCCCCCCCCCCTGCGCCTACAGGAGCATGAAGTGGAGAAGATGTTCACGCTGAAGCCGGGCCGCCTGCCCCAGGCGGATGTGAAGAATGTCATCTTCTTTGTCAGGCCCAAGCTGGAGCTGATGGACATCATTGCCGACAACGTGCTCAGGTACCGCTGGCACGGGGCTGCTCTCGGGGTGACTCTCGGTTCCCCTGGGGCTTTGCCAGAGCAGTGGCAGTTCCGTGTGAAGCTGCCCAAGTTCCCACAGTTGGGTCTCAGTGGGGAGCGAGGCGCATACACCAAAACCATGTATGTTTCAGACACGTGAATGTGAGCACAAATGGCTGAGTAAAAACTACTCAGAGATAAAAAGGAAGCTGATGACCATAACCACGTGCAGCGTTCCTCTTTTGTTTACATTCAGCACCCATTAGCCCCCACCCTGTGCCCCGATCTGCGCTGCTGAGTTACTGTCTGTGGTGCTCCTGCCTGTGACCCTTGCAGGGAGGACAGAGGCCGCTCTCCACAGAGGGACTTCCACATCCTCTTCGTGCCGCGCCGCAGCCTGCTCTGCGAGCAGTGGCTGAAGGAGCAGGGTGTGCTGGGGTCCTTCATCCACCGGGAGCAGTACAGCCTCGACCTGATACCCTTCGATGGGGACCTGCTGTCCATGGAGTCTGAGAGCGCCTTCAAGGTTAGTGCTCGTCTCATCGTCGAGGAAGAGCCCTGCATGTGGGTGCTGGCTCTTGGTGCCAGGTACAAAGGCCTCACACAGCAAATGGTCTGCGAGTGAACAGATGGCTCTGAGTGCTGAACTGGGTCCAACTTGTCACTGGGCTTTCTGACTAAACACTGGCAGAACAATCACAACACCAGCCTGTATCCTCCTCCTCCAGCCATAGACCGGTGTTACTTTGACAAACGGAGCGTTCATAAGGCCTAAAACACTTGGTCATTAAAACAAACAGCGCAGTTTGTATCAATACGCAGCATAAGAGCCATGGCAGTGGCTAATGATGTACGCTGCAAATCACATATCCTCTTTCTCAGAGTGCTGCACCTAGGGACAGAAACGTTTGAGTGGTTCTTTGCCCGTTTCAGCCTTATTAAATAGAGCCAAGATGTGCCAGGGCCTGCAGCTGCTTGGCAGCAGCTAGGCAGAGGTGTTGTGCTCTCGGATCCGCCCAGTTAGAGGGAGAGGCTTACCACAGTTACTCTCTGGCTCTCTTCTCTCTCTCAAACTGGGAATAGCACGCAGGATTCAAAAAATTTGCAGCAATTGGTTAGATCAAGTGATTTGATTTAGGAACAGCACGGGTAAGGTCCATATTTACCACTGGCCACAGTTTATTCCCCAGCCTCTGCCTCCTCTGAAGTACTGATGTGGACCATGGGGTGCTGTGGAAGCAGCTGTGTCAGGTGGAAACCTCCCACTGGGAATCTTGCTTCTCCTTTAGGAATGCTACTTGGAGAGCGACCAGACAAGTCTGTACCACGCGGCAAAGGGGCTGATGACTCTGCAGGCTCTCTACGGAACCATCCCTCAGATTTTTGGGAAGGGCGAATGTGCCCGGGTAAGGCAAACGCTGCTGCTTAAACAATGCCTCTTGTTCTTTGCAACACGTGCTTGCTGACGTGCCGCCTGTGGGTTTGCTCGTTTTGATTCCAGCCTGCATACTCTTCTTGTCATGTTGGAATTTTAGGATCATGGCCATTAGGTTTTTGTTGTCTCTGCCTAAAAGAACAATCTTTGCTGTTTCACAGGTCTTCCTGTCAGGAAGCTTTATCTGATTTTATGTTTTGCTCATAGGTACAGTACCTTTGTGCTTTCCGCAGGTCTTTCTGTGGAGTACGCTTAGCTGCTCTGGTAACCAGTAAACAGTTCTGGTAATCAGAAGGGCTAGATAAAGCTGGAAATGTGCAACCTATGCTTATGCGTTATCTTTTCCATCTCTCCCTATAACTGTCTCACTCTTTTTTTTTTTTCCCCATCTCATCAACCTAGAGTTTAATTGGTCCCTTTTTTAATGAGGGAGTGGCTTGAGAGGAAGCCAGTGCTTTGGCTGCCGCAGTTGCTGCCCTGCTAAGGTACAGAGTAGCAGTGAAGGGCTTTTCTTTTTTTTGTTGTCTTTGTCTTGTCCTGCCCCCATTTGTCAGCCAGTTTGTACCTCTTGCCATTCTCTTCCTTTGTACAGGACTGTGACCCCATACTTGCATAATCATGTGCCTGTACAGCCTACAAGTCAAATCCATCTGTTGCAGCCAGCACCGTAACCAGACCAATGTGATTTATTTTCAGCACGTGGCTAATATGATGATCAGGATGAAGCGTGAGTTCCCCGGAAGCCAGAACTCGATATTTCCAGTCTTTGACACCCTCTTGTTGCTGGACCGCAACGTGGACCTGCTGACGCCGTTAGCTACGCAGCTGACATATGAAGGGCTGATTGATGAAATCTATGGGATTCAGAACAGTGAGTACTGCAGGGTGACAGGAGTGGCCCCGCTGTGCTGGAGCAGGCCGCAGTGTGTCAGATGGATTTCTTTTTCCACTAAGTGACAGTGACATGGGAGCTGCTCACCTGAACTTGGGGTGGGGATGGTTCAGACCCCTGATGTAGCAGCCCCAGCCTAGAGCCCATCGAGATCAGCTTTGGCCACCTTTGTTTGCTGGGGAAGCAGAGCTGAGTGCAGTGCATGTTACTGAGCTGGGAGTGTTCTGGGTGTTGGCTGGGTGCAGATGTGGTGACACCTGAACATGTAGAGTGGGAGTAGAAATGGTAGCGTGTGCCTTCACCCTCCAGCCTGGATAGCTCCCTCGGTGCCACAGGGAAAGGGAAGAGTTTGTGAAAGGTCATTCGAAGCGCTCCCCTTCTCCTTGGGAGGTAGGAATTAAAAATTAGGTGTTCAGTGGTTTTAATCTGATGCTGTACTGATGGCTGGGAGGCTGACCCCAAACCTCTTTGGAAACAGGGCACCTAGAGCTTCCCTGTGTGAGTACAGGGAGACTCTCCTTAATTAACATATATCTACTAAGTAATTTGGGCACTTGCATTAGCTTTCTTGCTAAGAACCCTTTCCAATTAAGGAGACAGGTTTCGCAGCCTGCTTTGCTGAAGTTACGGTGGGGAAGCTCCAGTCCTTACCAGGGTTATCTCTCTGCATTTGATAGCATATGTGAAACTCCCTCCTGAGAAGTTTGCCCCGAAGAAGCAGGGTGAGGGTGGCAAAGATCTCCCCACAGAGCCCAAGAAACTCCAGCTGAACTCAGCTGAAGAGCTGTACGCTGAAATCCGAGACAAGAACTTCAATGCTGTGGGGTCAGTGCTGAGCAAGAAAGCCAAGATCATCTCAGCAGCCTTTGAGGTGAGGCGTGTATCTGACCGTGCATGCCTCGGGCATTGTGATCAGACACAGACACGGTCTGTATCAGTGGGGCTCTGACAGGCAGCCTGAGCTACTGCCGTGGACTGATCCCCAGCCAGAGAAAACACAGGCCTCAAAACCTGCTTGGTTCTGGTCCCCCATCCAGGGCTGAGATCAGCTCCGCTTCAGCAGTAGGTGTTGGTCAGATCGCTGCAGTAATGTAGACCCCCTCTTCTCACCACCTGGGGCTCTTCTGGGGCTTTCCCCATCCTGACTGTTAAAAGCTTTTCTCAGATCTAGCCTGCAAAACTCAGGTGCTGCTTCCCACTGCAAGAGGCCCAAGGTTAATTTTAGTGCAGTGATCAGTTCCACTTTGTGGGATGTTGATCTTTCAGTTAACAGGTAACAATCCCTGTCTCTCTGTGTTCCCTGAGGATAGAGAGAAAGAGTTGAAGAAATAAGACTCGAGATACACATTCACGCCTTGTTACTATGGCAGGCATCAAAAACAACAGGAATGTGGAAAAACCCAAATTGTCTTACGGGGGGTTTGACCTGTAAACTCAGGCTCATGTTGTCTTAAAGCTGGAGAGTGCTGTGGGGTGTGTTTGTGGTTTTGTTTGAAAATATCCTGTTGATGATTCAGAAAGAGTCTGAGATCCTGTATCTGTGTTTTCAGACTTCATAGTGGTTCTGCAGAGAACTGGTTACGTTGTTGGATTGTATTTCTTGTTTATTTCCTTTGCCTCTTCCTTTCTGCCACATGAAAGAGGTGGTGGTTCCCTAACTCAACTCGTGCACGCTTAGCCTTCCCCTCGTAGGTGGCTGTTACTGCAGGATTAATGCTGAAGGTGCTAAGGATGGATTATTCAGACTGTTGCTTTTTAAAAAAAAAAAAAAGTCGTCAAATATTAGAGGTGATAATGAAACAGCATCACAGCGGTAGCAAAGGACTTATTAAATTGCAGGCTTTGTCACTATCGCTCTCCTGCCTGCACTTGCCTGCTTAAATTCTTCACATATGAATCAAATTATTATTTTTATTCTAAGTTGCAGTGAGAGACAAGTAGCCCAAATGAAATACAGACATCTGGACTGCTCTGAGAGCTGAAGTCTGCGTTGTGCTTCATCAGAGCGTTGCTCAAAACCTGGGACACTGCAGCCAGGTACAGTGAATCGCAGGCTTCCTCCTTAAGAGGGCCGCAGACCCGGCCTGCCCAGTTCCTCAGCACCTCTGAAAACTGCTTTGAGGGGCAGTGCCCCCACCTCTGGCTGCATTTGCCCAGAACTCCATGTT